TAATATAGATTTAGGGTTTTTAGGACCTCGTCGCCACTTTTATATCCTCTGTTATTCAACTTTTATAACATATATTTACTCTGCTATATTATACATCTATACTTGCTCTCTGGCTTAGCGTCTCCTAATCTAATGTCTCGTGACCTAATCTTATATGTCAATCACTTCAGCTGACCAATCAGCATTTGGATACAACACCGCTGTAAGACAACTTGTTTTGTGTTGTCATCAAGACCCTGCAATGGCATTCCAAGCTGTATTTTAAGAGAAAAAAAAATCAAGATATTAGACTTAATTACTTAAATGAAAATGAAACTCAGGTACACTAAGTCACATACACGTGGAACGATAACTCCATAAACAAAGCCCTATAATTGGGCGATCGAAGCCAAATAATTTGAATAAATGATGAATAAAGGCAAGTGACTTAGCAACCTCGTTCCCGGGCTCTTCCCTCTTGTGGAGGAAAGACCCTGGTGGACGCTGGTCACGTGATCTGCTAAAGGTCTGCTTTGGAAGGACAACCTTAACTGAATCAGCTGTATTAAGCAAAAAATTATGCCTTAGTAGTGTCAGCATCGCTCGACAGCATTCAAAAGAACAGCTTTAAAATTTACATAAGAAACTCATTAAACTGGTTTTCTAATAAAGTCTATAGTTTTGTTCTACGTTTATGCTCAAATACGAATATTTTGTACCAAAACCCAAACTATGTTGAAGTTGTGTATTTTCTGCACGTGACATGCAATGGCAGCCTTCGTGGTTAAATGAGCCAAATCAAATCGTCCTGCTATTGAGCTAACAGAATTTTGTCACATACTGTATGTAAGTTACAGTATACTCTTCAGACTGAAAACGCTATACTGCATTTGGAATTTCTGAAAATTATTGATTTATATTCTACCCGAAGCCGTGCGCGTACACGCAATAAAACTATTAATGCTGCATGTTATTCATATTATCTTATGCAGCGACTTGCATTATTTCCTAACTTATTTTGGCATTGAATCATACTAAGATCCGGCATTCAGGGGAAAGAAACGTGCGAAACATTAATTAAACTGTATAAACATAATTGAATTTATTCAACGTCCAGCTTTTTTGACAAAACCGGGTTGCATGAATGTTGATTCAATAGTTTGTGGAGCCACTAAGTTTAAAGTTGTCTTCCTCTGAAATTGTTGGGAAAACAAATTCTTCCTCGGAGCAAAAATCATAGTTAATTATTGTGGTTTTCTATTATTAGTTTGAAGTGTGCTTTCTTAAGCCTGGACATACACATTTGGACGCTGATCAGCTATTTTCTCGTTTGTCAGTTGCAATTGCAAGTTTGGGTTGTTTGACTTTTAACGATTTAATAAAATTAATCCGCACTTCATACAAACAAACTGGGGGGACATTTGGCGGAGAAGAAGGCGCTATTCCACAGTGGATTGCACTAAATCACCAGTATGCTATTCGAGAATGGTTGGAACCTCACATGTGTGGTCTTCACAACTTGCGGCAATTTTATCACTTCGCGTTTGTCACTGAGAATGATGAGGTTGTGATGCACTATAAACAGTGGAGCAGTGAGAAATGGGATGAAAATAAGTACCAGCCGCTTAAATTATTGAAAGGTTCGCCGTCTGGTGTACCTTCCTTGATTAAACCAGACTATGAGGCAGTTGAGCTTAAAAAACTAGAAAGCATGGTGGACAAAAGTTCAGAGATCGGTGCGTTTCAAAAAGAGGAAGTTGAACAATGGAAAGAATTTCTTGCAGAAGAAAGGAAAAAAGCGGAAATGTACGAGAACGCTGAACTTGTCGATTTAGGTAATTATCCACTCGAATTTACTTATGTGTCTCATATAAAATGTCATTGTGTCACACAAATAAAACAGAAGGAAGTCACTTTTTTCTTGTATGTTAAACCTATAAACTTAAAAAACACGAAATACAAATTGTTTAATTTTATCGTCAGGTAAACACTCAGTTGCCAACCAAATATACTTGCGCTCGGAAGGAGACAGGTGGCCAATAGATGACCTGTTGGAAAGGGAAAGACCTCAAGAACCGCTGTCAGTCGTGAGCTCCGTTTTGGAAAATTTTTCCGCAAAAGAACGGGGAGATGGTTTGGTTCAGGTAAGTTTGTTAACAGCTTGAGATAGAAGACAACATGGTAGGACTCTAAAACAAAATTTATGGGTGTTAAGTTTCTACACAGTCCTCGTCTATATATATATATATATTTATATATATATATATATATATATAATATATATATATATATATATATATATATATATATATATATATATATATATATATATATATATATATATATATATATATATATATATATATTCTTCACTATATACAGCTAATTCAATTAAGGTCGTCTTTCCTGAGCGCTCAAGGGACGATGGGTTATTGCCTATATTTAGGCTTATAATCTTTGAAATTTGTGTTTGCAAGAATACCTAAGACATGTACAAAACTCACGACTGAAAACATACTTGCTGCAAAGGCAATTTTCTGAGTTTAAAGGGCATTTTATATGAAAACCCATCGTCCCTTGCGCGCTCAGTGTTCAAGGTGTAACGTTTTGGAAGGACTAATCAGCTGTATATTTTATTGTAGACAAAACTATCAACAGAATGAAATATATGAAAGTCATTATATTTTTATGTAGACACACTTCCGGCTAGTGTAATAACAAAACACTGCTTGTTTCGTTTATTTATAGGTTTATTCTGGTGCTTACATTCGGACAAAAGAAGTGCAAAGAGGAGTAATTGAAGAGGCTCCCTTGGAGGAGATTACTGTTGGAGATCTGGTGGCAGTCGAGTGTGAGAATTACAAAGACGAGTTACCACTAATTGCCAAGGTGTTAAAAATCGACGCCGAAACCCTGGAAATCGAGTGGTACACGGGTGGATGGAAAACAGTGTGGAAGCCTGCAAAGAAACGATCTGGAAAGCAAATGATCCCTTGGACGGATACGATCCCCAAAGAGAGTATAAAGCTTTTTGATTTCACGCTAACTGGTGGAAATAAGCTTCGAAAGGCTACCGTGGAGCGCCTCAAAGAAGCCTATGGATTACAGCATGCCTAAGAATAAGACTGACTGTACATGAATGAGATTATAATTGAGTGTCGGACTGTCGGTGATGTGCAAAGAGGGGTCATGGCTTATACTCCCTCGAAATTTGAGATATTTCGACATGAACGTAAAATAAATCAATATAATAGTTTAAGCTTTGTTTAAGCTATTTTCTATTCTCCCATATGGTTATATGTTTACATAGTTCGTCACTGATCTTTAACAAACTGTACAATATACCAGTTTCATTTAAAAATGAAAATTAATGCCCAGTACACGTAGAAGAAAACGAATTTTAAGAGATTTATTTAGGAACTGACGTTTCGTCTTTAACTTAAGACATCTTCAGAGTAAATTCTATATCGTTTACTCTGAAGATAGATGTCTTACGTTAAAGACGAAAACGTTAGTTCCTAAATAAATCTCTTTTAAAATTCATTTCTGATGGCTCTTCTACGTGTATTATGTTGGGCATTAATTTTCATTTAAGATTACGATTCCCGCCTGGTAAATCTTTAAAATTGGTTTCATTTTAGGTCGGAAGATCTAACATTTCTTAGGAGTAAAGACGTTTGTAACGTATATGACCCCCCTTTTTACATGAGATGACCCCTCTTTTTTGTACGTCACCGACGACAGCATGGACTAATTATAATGTCATTCATGTTAATGATCTTTTACGCCTTGCCGCAGGATATTAGATCGCCGGAGGTTAAATCACCGCATGGTATCAGACTATATACTTTTATTCAGCATGCATTAGACGAGATCACATTTCATTTGGCGCGGTAAAGTTCAACGGCGAGCGTACATTTTGCGCACAGTATTAAATACCATGGAATTCTTTTCATCGAACGAAGTTAATTCACATTTTTTCAAAATATTTCTGTATGATATGGACAGCATACGAAGGAACCTACATTTATGCTAACTTGATTGTCTTGAATGAAATATAACGTGTTTACGCGCGCAAATGTAATGTCAGCTTCGTCGCTTATATAATGAATATATGTTTAATACGAAGAGTTCAAGATGATTGGAAAAGAGATGTTATATTATTGAAATCAATTCTGTCTAAATGTAAGTACATGTTATATGACCATATTTTATTTATATATAATTAAGTGTATGACGTGAAGTTTCTATACTGCAGCGCGCACGTCGGCCAAATTTCATGTGCTGAACCTAGTAAAACACCAAACTTTTGCGCATTAACAGTGCCTTAACGATCAGATATTTATCAACATAGTAGATATATATCCATATAACTTGTTGTCAATTCGGCCAAAATAATAGCACAAACAATAATAATACCCCTGAATAAGACAGTAATGCGAGCTATATATCACTCCAAATTTCCCTAAACGGGAACTTTTGCTCATATGCTATTATGCATTAGGTTCGTTGCGTTGAAAGTTCAACGTTGCTTTAAATTGAAACATTTCAGTTTACGCGCCAGCACGAAAGACGAAATCCACTAATTTAGTTAATTCCCAGCCCAAGCTGGTCTCCAAAGATACTTCCAGAGCAAATTTTTTGGTCAGTGACAGTGTTAAATAATTTTAGAAGCTTAGTTCGGTTTACAACCTATAAAACCCAGTTCAGAAATTCATGAAGTTTTGTTAATACGATAGAGATGCCTGCATGCAGTGGAGGCTAGTTCATCAGTTTATGTAATATATGAACAACGAGAGCGAGTGTTTCGCCGGGATATCCAAACTCGAGTGTCTTGGATATCACGGTGAGACACGAGCTAGAGTTGTTCATATGGCTTCTCAAATGAATCGAGACGTTTCCCTTAGGTGATTTGAATAGAATTTCTACCATGCGGAACATAGTTATGACTATTGTGAATTTGTTTGCTGACTTGATTTTGCATACGTAATTAAGATATTTGATCAAAACACTATGTAGCTAACACACCAACTCGACTTTCATCGAGTATCCAAACAGCTGCATCTTGTGACCGAATGCTTACTTGCTATTGGATTAATTACTCATGCATGAATTATTAATGAATTTGAGAAAAGTTTTGTTCAGTTCATAAATTTATGAAATTTTGTTCAGTTCATAAATTTATGAAGTTTAGTTCAGTTCATAAATTTATGAAGTTTAGTTCAGTTCATAAATTTATGAAGTTTTGTTCAGTTCATAAATTTATGAAGTTTTCCTTAGTTCATAAATTTATGAAGTTTTGTTCAGTTCATAAATTTATGAAGTTTAGTTCAGTTCATAAATTTATGAAGTTTTGTTCAGTTCATAAATTTATGAAGTTTTCCTTATAGTTCATAAATTTGTGAAGTTTTCTTCAGTTCATAAATTTATGAAGTTTAGTTCAGTTCATAAATTTATGAAGTTTTGTTCAGTTCATAAATTTATGAAGTTTTGTTCAGTTCATAAATTTATGAAGTTTTCGTTAGTTGATAAATTTATGAAGTTTTCAGTTTAGACTTTAGTTCATAAATTTATGAAGTTTAGTTCAGTTCATAAATTTATGAAGTTTAGTTCAGTTCATAAATTTATGAAGTTTAGTTCAGTTCATAAATTTATGAAGTTTTGTTCAGTTCATAAATTTATGAAGTTTTCCTTAGTTCATAAATTTATGAAGTTTTGTTCAGTTCATAAATTTATGAAGTTTAGTTCAGTTCATAAATTTATGAAGTTTTGTTCAGTTCATAAATTTATGAAGTTTTCCTTATAGTTCATAAATTTGTGAAGTTTTCTTCAGTTCATAAATTTATGAAGTTTAGTTCAGTTCATAAATTTATGAAGTTTTGTTCAGTTCATAAATTTATGAAGTTTTGTTCAGTTCATAAATTTATGAAGTTTTCGTTAGTTGATAAATTTATGAAGTTTTCAGTTTAGACTTTAGTTCATAAATTTATGAAGTTTAGTTCAGTTCATAAATATATGAAGTTTAGTTCAGTTCATAAATTTATGAAGTTTAGTTCAGTTCATAAATTTATGAAGTTTTGTTCAGTTCATAAATTTATGAACTTTTCCTTAGTTCATAAATTTATGAAGTTTTCTTTAGTTCATAAATTTATGAAGTTTAGTTCAGTTCATAAATTTATGAACTTTAGTTCAGTTCATAAATTTATGAAGTTTTGTTCTGTTCATAAATATATGAAGTTTTGGTCAGTTCATAAATTTATGAAGTTTTGTTCAGTTCATAAATTTATGAAATTTTGTTCAGTTCATAAACTATGAAATTTTGTCCGGCTCAATTTTTTTGAAATTTTGCTTAGACAGTTCGTAAATTTTCGAGCTTTTGCTTGATTCGCAAATTTATGAAGTTTAGTTCTCAATTTACTTTAAGGGTTTAAGAAATGAGACAGTTTTTGTCGTTTTCTTAAATATTAACGATTTTTTGCTTTTGATACTTAGTATTTGCAATATTTAGCAACCATTTATTGTGCTTTGCCAAAAAGGACGCTTAAAGGATGATTTCGGTAATTTCCAGTTTTGTTAAAGAGATGATAATAGTTTTTATGGCAGTTTTGTGGGGGGGGGAAATGTAATGAAATGTTGAGTTTTGTTAATTGACGTTTTCATGAAATTAAGTAACTTAACCTTTTTACAAAATGATCTATTTTGCACCTTCGAAGGGGAGTTGTTGATTATCGCTTTTCCAAAATGTGAAATAATTGCATTTTGAAGCTTGATTTCTTTAGCCAATCATTTTAAATATAGTGAAAAACACGAATTTATTCAGTGGTAAAAATATTATTTTGAAGTGAAAAATCCATATTTGCAGTGCCCTGTATACTTAAACTTATGAAATGTTTAAAAACAACCTTCAGGTTTATTCAAAAACAGCTAGTGCAAAAATGCCAATAGAATTAGTGATCTGTAAGTCCTGGGTCTAGTCGTGCAAATCCCATGTTGGAGGGACAAGAAATATGGCAGCACACATTTAAATTAAAAGTTTATTAATAGGATTTTACATGATGTATTTATCACTTATTTACTGAGACCGAGGAAAACAGTGTGTTTTGTGGACCCGAGACCGTCGATGGTTCCCGAGTTTTATTATATATCAATAGTCAAAGAAACAACAAATTAAAGAACAAATGAACGTAAATACATGAAATCTCTTATTGTTAAAACGTTAAATTAAACACTGCAGTTACTTAAAGCGAAAGTTTAAATTGTTATATTGTAATTGTTATATTGTTTTAAATTGTTCGGCATGTCCAAAGGTCGCATCTTCGCGTGATGGCCCACGTGATTTTTTTTCGTTATTCGCCGGTCGATAACGTATTGTTTCCCTGTCGCGCTGTTGCGAGGGAGACAGTCTAATTTCGTCACTCGCACGTGATATGCTCTCGACCAATAAAACACTAGAAAAATGCGACTTTGAGAATTGGTATATACAGTAATAATACTATACTGTATATTTACA